AGATTAATGTTAGATGATGCAAATTTGTTAGTGGTGTTTCAGTTGTCCCTAATATTCGGGTGAGACCAGCTTCAATGTCGGTTCAGTTTAGGTGATGCAATTTAAATAGAACCTAAAGCATGAAATGGTTTAGGTTCAGTTTAGGTGGGACCAAAGATTTAAGTTATCTTAGGTTCAATTTAGGTTGAACCTAAGATTTGTTTTTATTTAGATTCAATTTAGGTAGAACCTAAGGTTTAAGTTTATTTAGGTTCAATTTTAGGTACAACCTCAATTTGGGTTGAGCATATGATTTAAGTTAACTTAGGTTTTATATGAGTTGAATCAAAGGTTTAGATTGACTTAGGTTCAATGTGAGCTGAACCTAAGATTCTAGGATGACTTAGGTTAATGTGGGTTGAACCTAAGGTTTAGGTTGACTTAGGTTCGATGTAAGTGGAACCTAAGGTTTAGGTTGATTTAAATTCGATGTAGGTTGAACCTAAGGTTTTAGCTTGACTTAGGTTCAATGTGGGTTGAACCTAAGGTTTAGGTTGAAGGAATAAGCGTAATTTAAGTAAGGCTTAATGGATGTTTCAAGTCTAATTTAGGTTAGACTTAGGGCCTATTTGGGGTAGCTTATAAGTGCGGCGGCATTTTTGAAAATGTCTCCTAACCGTTTGGTTTGCACGTTTTTGAAAAGACTGCCTGCCGCGTTTGAGTTTTTTACACTAAGTCGACCCATGCGGCCGACCCGCGGGCCGCATTTCAAGATAAACAACTTATCCTAAAACGCACAAGATTCGTATTCTCCTCAAATTCTCCTTCACTTTTCTTCTTTCCCCACTATAAATAAATAAATAATTATAAGGAAATTTACACATATAGCACACAATTCCCATGCAATTACAAATCTCACAGCTACACTTACATATATAGCACTAATAGTACTAATTTTAATGTGATATTAAGAATTTGAGTCTTGTGTGTAAGGGTCCGTTTGGGGCAGCTTATAAGTGCGGGCGGCGTTTTCAAAACGTCGCCGTACCGTTTGGTTCGCGC